CATACACTCAACCACTGAGCCATCTCAGGAGAAGGTTTTGAACCTAGGACTTGATACACTGTCTTGTCACATGCTTCAACTGAACTACACTCCACATCCTGAATTATCTTTTTTTAAAAAATGGGGGCTGGGAGATGGTAAAAAGCACTAATCCTCGGGCCCCACATGTTAGAGGGAGAGAACTGACTCCTGTAAGCTGTCCTTTGACTGCCATACATGCATCCCGGTGCCATGATGCCCCCGCCCTGCTGCCCCTGCCAAGCAAATAAATGTAATTTTAAAAGCATAAAAGCCTGAGAGGGTAGCAAACACTTGGTAATCCCAGCACTCAGGAGGGAGCAGGCAGTGGAAGGATCTGGAGTTCAAGTTGGAGGCCAGCCCGGGCTCCAAGAGACCATCCCCAAAGACCAAAAGATGAAATAAAGAGTTCACATACATTAAAATAAATCCCATGTTATGACCTCATTATAAGGTCAAAAATAAAGTCACACTGCCTCTGTTTCTCATGCAAGGGGCCATGAGGGAATGGGGTGAGTTCTCAGGAGAGCAGTGGGAAGGGTGACTGTGTGTGGCCTCAGCCACTGGACAGGCCCACTGTCTGCAGTTATGCAAGCACCCACAAGACAAGAAGGAAGTGCTAGGGCCCGACACAAGTCTCCCTTGGAACTTTCTGCCTGCTGCCCGCCAGGCCCAGGTACACAGCAAGTCTGGTGTTTTTGCGGGACTTTCCAGACCACGAAGTCTGAGACAGAGATCAATGTGTCCCAGAGTTCAGTGGCCCAAGGGACTAGCATGTGAGGAGAACCAGCCAGTGTGTGAGCCACTTGCTGTTTACCGATTATTCCCAGCTCCTTACCAGTGTCCACGCCTGGTGCAGCGTATCAACACAGGTCCCCATTCATCTGCAGACTGAGACAGCAAGATTGAGAGTTCGAGGCTAGCCTGGGTAGCTTCGTCTCCAAATGGCAAAAAGGGTTGGCCATGTAACTTCATAGTCGAACATTTTGCCTTAGAATCCCTGAAGACAGGCTAAGGCTTTGGCTCAGAGCCTGTATGCCTGTAATCCTGGAATCCCCAAATTGCATTTACAACCTGGCCCCACCCACTTTCTCCCAGTCCTAGCCAGAGTCATTGGCCAGCTGGGCTGCAGACAGAAGGCTAACTTTGAAGAAGACCACCCATGACCCAGGTTTCCTGGCAGTTTCTGAACCACCTAGTATGGAAAAGGAGAGACCAGATGTACCACCCCCAACCCCTGCCATTTTGAAAGCAGGGTCTTGCTATATATCTCTGGCTGGCCTGGAACCCACAGATCCTGCCCCTGCCACATTAGGAAGAAATCCCTGTGTACTCTGCCCAGCTGCTTCCTTCTTTGTCTACATACAGAGTCCCTCCCTACTGAGAGCCACCACCTTCAGGCCAGTGTCCAGGATCCAGGCTCACTCCTCCCAGGAAACCTCTCTGTCTAGTCAGCTCTGGGCGAGGCTCTGAAGTAGAGGCCTGCTGACACTGTGGCTTTTTTTGTTTCTCCTCCGTGGTGTTGGTTCCATTGGAGTCTAGCTCCTCCAGTGCTGGGATTAAAGACACCTGCCACATGCTCTGCTCCCATCCCCTTGTCATCTCAAATCCCCTTCCAAGCAGCCGCCTGAGGAGGAGCCACACCCTGAGGGACAATTGTGGTCATGTGGTGGTGTCTTACTTAGGTGGGAGTCCACATATGTGTGAAGACACTGTTTCTCAGGAGCTACCTTTTTCTTGAGACAGGGTCTATTACAGACTTAAAACTCACCTGGAGCGCTAGTAGATGGACTGGCCAGTGAGTCCCAGAGTTCCTTCTGACTCTGCCTTCCCAGTGCTGGCATTGAGATCACACCCCAGGCTATGGGGAGGGTTCTGTGGCTCAGAGTACTAACTTCTCTTGCAGAGATCTGGGCTCAGTTTCCAGCACCCATGTCTGTGGCTCACAACCACCTGTAACTCATTCTCCAGGGATCCAACGCTTCTGACCTCCACAGAAACCTGCCCCCACACACACTCACACACACACACACACACACACACACACACACACACACACACACACACACACACACACACACACACTAATAAAAAGAAAACTTCGAAAGCATATGCTACCACACCCAGCTTTTCTATAATATGGGACCTGGGGATAGAACTCAGGTCCCTTCTGGGTAGTAATAGTATACCACCCAGAGGCAGGAGGATCTCTGAGTTTGAGACCAGGCTGGGCTTTAGAGCAAATTCAAGGCCTACACAGAGAAACCCTATCTCAACAACAACAACAACAACAAAAACAAGAACAACAAAAAATCCCACAACAACAAACAACAAAACAAAAAAGAACTCAGACCCTCAGGCTGGTATGCCAAGGACTTTACCAGCAAGCCACGTTCCCAGTGATGTTTTACTTTTAAAGACAATCTCATATAGCCCAGCTGAAACTGGCCTATAACTCCTGATTCTCCTGCCTCCACTTCCCAAGTGCTATGATCACCATATGTGACCTGTCTGGCCAGCTTGCTGTTTGTGAGGTTACTCAAAGTCCTCACAGAAGGGGAAACATCTGAGTAGAGACAGTGAGCTTGAGGGGGAGAGATGCACACACACACAGAAGATGAAGAAAAGGGGGCAGAGCGGGTACAAAGGCCCTGTGGTGGGAGCAGCCAGGGTGATTCAGACCGGCAGACAGGCCCACATGACTAGGGGGGGTGGGCAGCTAGGCCTCACAACAGGTTTTCTGCACTTTCGTGCCCTCAGCTGCCCCAACCCCTCGGTGAGGCTCAACAATCCCCAGAAAGTGAAAGACTGAGCAAGATTGCCCTGGGCACTCCCTGCCCCCACCCCATAAGCAACAGAACCCACTTCCTCTTTTTAGTGTATTTAAGGCTTGGCTCAGGCTGTAGAGAGAAGTGGCCCAGCCACTCACTGCCCAGCCATGGGGGACACTTTCATTCGCCACATTGCCCTCCTGGGCTTCGAGAAGCGCTTCGTTCCCAGCCAACACTATGTGAGTAGCCTGAGTGCCCTGCAGGAGCCCACAGTGGGGACAGTACTACCCAAAGGCCACCAGGGCCAGGGAAGGGAATGGAGGGTGGGGACCAGGGAAGATATGAGAGGGAGGGGACCAGGGAAGGACATGAGGAGGAGGGGATCAGGGAAGGATGTGATGGGGAGGGGACCAGAGAAGGACATGAGAGGGGACCAGGGAAAGACATGAGGGGGAGGGGACCAGGGAAGGACATGAGAGGGAAGGGACCAGAGAAGGACATGAGGGGAAAGGGAACCAGGGAAGGACGTGAGAGGGAGGGACCTCTAGGGCATGGGGCTCTCTGGCCTTTGGGCTTCAGGCTTCTCTTGGGTGTCTGCAGAGGGTTCTGCCATTCTGGGCACCCTTCTCAACTATTTCCCTCACACTGAGCCCCCATCCATGTCCATGTGCCACCACCCTGTCCAGTACTTAGGACCAAGGCTCACTCCTCCCAGGAAACGTCCCTGTCTAGCCAGCACAGGGAGAGGCCTGAGACAGAGCTATTTGTCTCTCCTATGATGCTGGTCACATTTGAGGTTAGTGCCCTAGGTGGTGACATCACCATGAGGAAGCAAGGTGATCCCTTTGCCCTGGGGGAGGTGAGTTAGAGAACTCTCTGCCCTTGGATCTATACTCCATCACTGGGCAAGAGACGTGTGCTACCTGGCACTTGTGGGGGGCTTGCATGGCACATGCTAAATCGTCTTCCTTCAGCCCTCCTTCTCTAAATATAAATATTCTGAGTCATCCCAGACTTTGTAACCAAAGCCACAGCAAAAGAGAGCATTTCGGTCACCCTAGGTGTTTCCTTCATATCCTTCACTCCCCCACCCCCAGAGACAATCTCTGGGTTATTTTTAGATTCTCCCAGTGTAGGTTAGGATAACCAGAGAGCAGACTTCCCACTTTACCTTCCAAATGCTGGTTTTCAGACCTCTCTCTGTCTCTCTAGTAATAGTTATCAAATTACCCCATAAGGCCTTGTCTTTGGCTTCTTTCAGATCCCCCTTCCCTGTCACAGAAATCAATTTGTTTTCTTTTCATGGCTAGCATTATTAATTATTGCCTAAGACAGCATATTATATAGCCCAGCATGTCCCACTGTCCTTATGCCATCCCAACAACTTGAACACTTCCCACTAAGCCCCATAAATAAGGAAATAAATTATTTTTATTTTCTGTATTTCACCTGAATGTTTGTGAAATCAGGTATGTGCAGTGCCCGTGAAGGCCAGAAGAGGGCGCCAGATCAACAGGAACTGGAATAACAGATGGTTGTGAGCCCCAGTGTGGGTGCTGGGTACCCTGGGGGCATAGCCAGTGCTCTCTTCCACTTTCCATCCTTCCTATATGAGCCATCTCTCCATCCGCAGTGCCCACTCCGTTCTTAAAGGTCCCTGCCTCTGTTAGCACAGTGGGGACAAGTTTTCCCACCCCAGTTCCTTTGAGAGAAGCCACATAGGAAGCACAGCTGGGGACTGTGACTGAAGCACTTGAATAGCATACATGAGGCCCTTAACTCAATTCCCTGAACTGGCAAAAGAAAAAAAAAAAAAAGCAATAAGAAAGTGAGCAAACATTGGCTGCTCTTCCAGAGGATCAGGGTTCAATTTCCTGCGCCCACATGGTGACTCACAGCCAGGTGCAACACCCATCCAAGGGGATCCGATGTCCTCTTCTGGCCCCCATAAATATTGTATGCATGTGGTACATGGACGTACATACAGGCCAAACACCATATACATTAAAAATAAAAGAAAAACAGGGAGAAAGGAATTGATAGAATGGCTCATCAGGCAGTGAGCGGGACTTGCCACCATGTCTGATGATCTGAGCTCACGCCTCAGAACCCGGGAGGTGGAAGATGACGGCTCCCACAGCTGTCCTCTGGCCTCCACATGCACCTATGACATGCATGTGTACATACATACACATACACGCACACACACTGAATAAATGTGAATTTTCAAACACACCAGAGGTTGATCACATTGGTCTCCTCAGAACTACAGCTAGCTACCCGAGTCCCCGAAGTTCAAGCCCATCCTATGACCCAGGCTACCCCCAAGGACAGTCTCACCACAACCCTGTAGACTTCCATCCAAGGCTAAGAGACAGCTCAGGGGCACAGCATGGTACTTGAGGGCACTGAGGCCCTCCATGCTCTGACTCTCCATGCTCTGATGCCCCCAGGTGTACATGTTCCTGGTGAAGTGGCAGGTCCTGTCAGAGAAGGTCGTCTACAGGAAATTCACCGAGATCTACGAGTTCCATGTGAGTGTTGGGGACGCTATAGCCTCAGCTGCTGCTTAGCCTTTGTAGGCCCCATGCTCAGCATGTATCTAAAGAGGCCAGGTCTACAGAGTGACTTCCAGAGCCAGCCAGGGCTACAAAGTGAGACCCTGTCTCAAAATAAATAAATGGTGGGGCGATGGTGGTGTACACTTTTATTCCCAGCACTTGGGAGACAGAGGCAGGGGG